CCATAGTAAGAATCGAGCAAGCCTTAATTTAGCGCAACCGTTGGAAGAATACAGATGGGTCTTCAAATAGTGGCAGCCTTGTCCAGAAAGGCAGTTATGCCAGGTGGCGGTAAGGTGCATTCGTTAACTGTCGTTAGCCTTTATAAGTGAAGCTTTTAATTCTGTATTATTTAGAGTGTCAAATGTGAATAATCAACTTTTTTGCGGCCAGAATTTTGTCAATTTAAGATCAAGCTTTATATAGGTTTTAGGTAAATAGATTTTTTCACAGAAGTTTTAAGCAAATGTGGAACGTAGGTTTAAAGGAGGATTTATTACTTGCGAAAAGAATGAAGCCAAGCTACGAACTGTGGGTATGTTTATTATTATATAAGCATCAAGAAGGGGAGTTAATTCATAATTTGTTAGTCACTGCTTTGTACTTAGCAGAACTACTTTTCAGATAACTGGTTACTCGTTGGGAGCAGCACAGGCAGCGATTGCAGCTTTCTATATTATTACGAATAAAATTTTTGATGCACAATCTGTAAAACTAATTACTTTTGGAGAGCCACGAATTGGAGACAGTAAATTCGCTGAGACTTTTGATAATTTGGTGACAACATTTATTTTTACTCATACTTATTAATGCAGAAGCACACCAGACTGTAAAATGGAACTGCGAAATCATCTGATGAAATGAGTTGGGCATTGTCATTAGCTATCAGTCATAGGAAGTGCTTTTCAGTTGAAGTATTCCTATCGAGTGATCAGCAGAGGAGATATTTTTGCACAGTTGCCACCACTTCACCTCAATGGATATCGGCATCATAGATATGAAGTAACCTTGTTTCCCAATTGCATTGTTCCTTTACACCTTTAAGGGAGTCGTATTCTGTACTGTTATAAGCTATCTTCAACTATTACGTTTAGAAGAAACATTATGAAAGCTAGCAGACACTTATTAAAAAATTGTATTTTCTTGAAAACTAAAAATTTTTTAGATATGGTACGACAACGATATGAGCGAAGGGATGCCATATCAAACATGCCTTTCCCCGGAAGACTGGAGCTGCAGCATTTCGAGACAGTTCGTCTACAATACAGATCACTGCTGTTATTTTGGCAAATGTTTCCCAGAATTTGCACTGTCGGACTGCGTGAAGTAGAAGATTGATTTTTGCATAAAACAACTGAAAAAAATTCAAAAACCATTAACTTGGGATCACTGCATCTTGTCCCTGTTTTTATTGTCATTAACGCCTTGTTGGTCTAAAAAAAGAACCATTATCACATATCAGTTTTTTGAAGTCTTCCGAGTTCTTCTAATTGTCACTACTGCATAATTCAACGACATGTGATTTAAGCTTTCTGTTAACTTTTGAAGTAAAATTTGAATATGTGGAATACAAAGAAATTATCCCGGTGTAATGCACTTAACGGCTTAACTCTTTAGTTCCAAGTGCGTAGCAAAATGTGTTTGTGTACCCGTCGTTTAAGAATTAATGCAACAAATGAACTGAATGGTAATCAGATCGAAACAAATCTAAAGAGTTTAATTGATGACTAAAAATTTTCCTGAATGACCTTGATAAGCTATGGGATTAAAGACAAACTTTTTCATCATATTCAAAAAAAATTTTGTTTTTTTCTAGGTCTTTTTCGTCAAACACAGTTTACTCCAATGTCATTGAAAAGGTAGTTCAAAAAACGAAGACCAGTGCTCAACTATCCAATTTTTCTAGTTAATGAGACTTTTGAAAAAATTTCTTTCTACTGTTATCAAGTTTTCAGTGCTAAACTGACAGTTTCTTGCAGCAAAAATTATTGCTCTTCTTTTACAATCTCGAGACTCTCATTCTGAACTTTTTTTTTTGAGAAGATACTTTTATTGTGAATTTAAGTTTAGCATAGTTTGTGAAATACAATATTTTTTACTGCATTAAATAGATTGAAAAGTTATGAATTGCAAAAATAACTGGGTTGAGTTTCGTCTTTTTTTTTTTTTATAAAACTTTCTTAAAATTTTGTGAACAACTGTTTAGGTTTGAAAATGATAATTTATTACCATTATTTGCTTTTAAAGAGTATTGCAGATTTAGCGAAGTGAAACTGTGGAAGCACTTAGCTTGGCACTTCTGCACTGGTAGACAGTTGTTTAATTCTAAGCCTTAATCACCATGTTGGATATTTATCTTATTTTATAAATGTTATTCAAAATAAATAAATTTAAATTTGGTTTTATTTTTTCATTCTATTATTTAATTTATTTCTTAAAGATATATATGTACCTATTTTGGAATACTAAAAAAAAAATTTTCTGTTGTAGAAGTCAACACTTATTTGCTGTGATTTTGTGGCTCTGATAAAACACCAATAATTTTGAAAAAAAAAATTTTACCTTTGTTAGCTCAACATTTGTTAAATAAATAATTGGCAAATTTTTATACCAAGTTTAGTTTATCTATCCTTTTGTTATGCTAAAAATAAGAATTTTTTCATGCTGCCACTTAGCAATTATCAGATTTTCGCAAGTTTCCTTTTGTTTTACTTAAGCGATCAGCACTTTGAAAGTTCAGTTTTGGTGTTTGCTAACTTTCAGGCTTTATCTTTTTGATGCATCAATTTTACTTGTTCAAAAAAAAGAAAAGCTAATTCCGATCTAGTTTGACGATAAGAAAATTAGCTGGATAAGTTGTCATAGTTTTCTCTAAGTAATATATATGACAATAAATGATGCTCTCTGAACTGATCTGTTCATAATTTCTCTGCCTGAAAACTGTTTTTGTATCTATAAACGGCATAAAATAAGTCTACAATTACCAAAAATTGTGTTATACAATCTGGTAAAAAAGGTGTGCAAGAATGGTTTACCCACCGATATTCTAGGTTTTTATTCGGTTAGAATTTTCACAAGACAAAATTGAAAACAACAATTGCTTTATAATGACTAAATTTTGTTTTTTAAATAGCAGCTTTATTTTTGTCATATATATGTTATAAAACACTTAGTGCTTAAACGATCCCTCTATGTTGCATTAAGGCAGTATACCAATCTGCTTCTCATTAAGCTCAAATAGAGTGTTTCAAAGACAATCAAATTTTTGTTTAGAAAAATAATCTTTTAAGAGTAGCAAGTGGTATTCATTTTTCTAAAATTCAATTTTTAAAAGCTTTTCTGAACTGAGCCTAAAAAATCTAAAACTGTGTAGTTTTTTATACTTGATGCACAACGACTAACAGCATAGTAAGTGAAGCAAATACGGTGCTAAAAATTTTAATATCTTAAAAAATTTTCTGAAACAATATTGTAACTGAATTGTCAACGTAAAAGAGAATTAGGTAAAATTTTAAAATGTTTTAGAATCGTTCATAATTAGAGTCTAGAAATTGGTGGTTTATAGAAGTTCTAGAAGAAAAAAAAAATAAAAATAAAAAGCCCTATTTTTTACAAAAATGTAAACCGATCACAGCAGTCGTAAAATTTCTTTTTTTCTACAACAGATTACTGATGTAACGAATAAAAATTTGTTTCTGTGCAAAAAAAAAATTCCTCGTGAATTTTATCAAATTTGCTAAATTGGAAAAAAAAAAGTGATTTGTTGCAGTAAATAAGAAAAATAAATAAGCAAAATTGTGGCAAACATCAACTAACCAATGTTGCGGCAAAAATGCTGTAAAGATAGCAAACATTTTCTTAAAATCATCATAATCTTTATTTTACACTTTCTTTAACGGTTTTATATTTTTCAGTACTCGGTATAAATGCGAGTTGGTTTAATCTGTAATTATTTGATCATATACGGTTACGCAGTATTAAATGTTATGGCCAACTGTAGGTTTCTAAAAAATCCTTAAAAAAGACCGATATAGCTGTGGCGATGGTACTTCCAAAAACTAAAAATTGAATCAGTTACTACGCATTGTTACAACACTGATTTAAGCAGCTGATCGAAGATTAGTGTCAAACGATTTATAAGTTTGAGTGTCGAAAGTTAGTGAAAATATTATAAATTTTAAAAAACCTTAAAAATTAATTATTATTAGGTAGAAACCTTCAAAACGTACGCTGGGCAAAAAACATTTTCTTTTGGTTAAGGATACATACATCGCAGCTGTCACTAACTTTGTTTTAGAAAACTATTTCTGTATCAAAATTTGTTCAAAAACGGAACGTGCACCCGAATAAAGCGCAGAAAGTTTGGCAAACATCCTAGTATAGTTTAAAATGCTCCCCGAGAGAAAACTGTCGTGTCTTTGATCAGTTAATTTGTCAAAAGAAAATTTAAAGAAAACTGTCAACTCTTTCTGTACACGGCAGTTTGACATTCGCTTAAATTGCTTTCGCTAATGGAGTAGAAACTGTAGATCAGTGTGAGCTAGGATAGAATATGCTTTTTAAAGATTATTTTATATCATGCAGATTGTCACACTTTGCTGTGCATTTCGAGAGTAAAGACAAGCAGTAACCTTTGATATGCCATTAGTAACTTGCCAACTTTGCAGTAAAGAGGTTACTGTCCTACCTCACGCAATAATAGATTTATAGAGGTAAATGATAATGCGGAGCACAGTTTTGTTCGGTTACAAAGGGTAGCTAAATGACTGGTAATTGAACATAAAAATGATTGAACAATAACGTTCAGCAGCAAACTAACAGCGACAAATTACTATGGTTGATTGAAGAAGCATTTGGCCGTTAAATTTTCTTTTATGAGTTTTG